TATTAATACATACCTGCTCCCCTAAAAAAATTTCTAGATCCGGTACTGCATCGGATACTCACATTCGAGTCTAACCAAATAACAGATAATCACCTGTTTTCGTTAATATTACTCACATTCCCAACTAACAAAACTTGGTTAACTGGGATGAAAAAGAAATCGGAACGTCTAGTACCGACAATATCATATTAATGGTTCCGATACAATAAGAAGATTCCTTCAAACCTCAACAACAGGAATTTTAATGAAAGAATGGTAAGGCAGCCATGGCTTATTTGTTAACCTAAAACGATCCATGGTTGAAAAACATGACCACCCTGTGTCTATATTTACCAGGGGGGGGGGGGAATGGCGATACCATCTCAAATGTCCATGAGAGCCAAGGGCCAATGAAAGCAAAACAAGACAGAACTTGGTTTTAAAAGTTGAAGGTGCATCCAATGCTGGACATCATTCCATCATCTTCTCCAATATTTTATTTCTCTACGAAAAATTGAAAGTTGAAATTAATGATGATCGTCGTCACCATGTCCGTCTGGAGGACCTCCAGGGCCCACAATTTCCAGCTGCCAAACATCAAACGAAATAATTAGGAAAATCCTACAATGCTGGAGACTGCCTAAGCACTTCAAGCAAAGCAATGTCATTGTAGTTTCATTTACGTCTTTCAAGGATGATGATCTAAAGGACTAAAATATCTTATGGCTCAGACATTGCAGCTCAATCTAATAGATGATTCTTACTTGCATCCTCTTATCAATTTACGGAGTAATAGATAAAGTAACGAAAACCAAGTTAACAACAATACATCGATATACATAAGTTACTTATTGCACGAACTGGTTGATCAAACACGCTCTTCAAAGGCTTCCCTAAGAATAAATAAACCGATACTATTTATTTGTCTGACGAGGCCACAGATCATTGACAAATTAATTCAAATCTTTAGAGTTTTTGTTGAACCATTGTATAGGCCAAGAGAAATATTTGAAGGCTTAATGCAAAAATAAGTACCCAAACTATATCCAAAGTTAACTTTAGGTGTCTAAAGAATTTTTCGTCAAAAATAGGTGTCTAACGTTTTCGATATTAAACTTTTAGGTGCCTACCATTAAATTCAGCCGTTAAGTGACTCGTGTCAAGCTTATAAAAATTTTATTTAATTTTTTTTGAAATTTTATATGCTTGACACGTGTCACTTAACGACCAAATTTAACGACATTAACGGTCCAGACACCTAAAAGTGTAACGTTGGAAACGTTAGGAACCTAAAGTTAACTTTAGGTTTAGTTTGTGCACTTACTTTTACATTAAGCCATATCTGAACAGGCAATTGGATCCAATGACTGCAAAGAAAATAACTTTTATATGCAAGCTTAATATACCTACTAAAACTTCATGAATATCTTCTAATTCAATATATCCACTTACCACAAAATACTGTGAGCAAACTGCGCACTCATGTGGCTTGCCTTTCTCCAGCCAAAACCAGACAACATCGTGCTCATCCTCTGCATTTTTTTAAATATGCAAGTCAAATTAGATCAAACAGAATGACTCGATATCATATAAATCTGAGAAGGCATACAAGAACTGAAGTTAGAAAAAGACTAACAGAGAACAAGCGAAAGAAACTTACCACCTTCACCTCCTGGGCATCCAACTATTCTCTTGTTGTAGTAGGACTTAACAACAGCTGGAGCATCCTACAAGCAGATAAAACTATTTCAACAATCGAAAGTCATGACATCATTATTATGATTCAAAATGGTCAATATCCAGTTTCCAACAGGAAAGAAAGGGGTATTTGTCCGACGAGGCCACAGATCATTTTATCAAATAATGCACCCATGAACATCTTCTGCTATATATTTAATTATGTCACAAAACATCAGAGTAAGGATAAATATATACAAGTGATATCGATATCATATCAAATCATTTAAATAGAAACGCACATAAAGCCAATACTTAGCATATAAAAGGAGTAAAGAAAATAGTTTATAGCAAAAGAAAAAGAAGAGGAGATGATCATTAGTGTTTTGAAACACCATATGGCATTGCTTCCATATAAGATGATAAACATGTGATCAAGTATAGGTTCTTCAACCGTAATAGACTGTGAAAAACATTGAAACGCACACTAACCTTTGTGCCAAAAGGACCTACTGGATTGTTTACGTCTTCAAGGATTTTCTTTCCCTAAACAAAATAAAACAATTTTTTTTAGGATGAAACAGGACCAGCCTGATGCATAAACAGAGACGGCAGTAAATTAAATTTAGTCATGATGCTTATAACAATAATCGTCAATCATAACAAATTCTCTCACATTTTGAAACCAAAACAAAGAGTGTAAGAAGAAAAATACCTCAAGCTCAGCTTCAAGCTCCTCGCGCTCATGACCAGTAGCGATAGGCATTACATCCTCAACCCTCTTCTTCACAGCAGTATGCGCTACACATTCCAAACCAATCGAAATCAATGCAGGATATAGGAAATCCAACTTTTAACGTCTTCAGATTTCAAATCACATATTCATATAGAAACAAAAAAATATTAAAATACTTACACAAGGGATGCAAAGCTTGAAACCAAAAATGACACGTTTACGAGGATCTAAGGAAATTAGACTCACCTGAACAGGAGGATAACCGGCGAGTGAGGAAAGAAGCGGAAGGGGATACAGAAACGTGAGATTTGAAACGGAGAAGCGGTGGCGGCGTCTTAGAAGAGGATCGGCATGGGACGGTGGCTAGGGTTTTGAAGTGTGAAGTGAGTAGCCTTCTCCACATATCTCTGAATTGCAATGATTTTTAAGCTTTTTTTTTTGGGTTGTTTATTAGGCTTTTTTTGAGGACGATCAAAAGAAGCGATTGCAGTTCTCCCTCTCTTTTTCAGCGTTTGCTGTTTGTTTTGGCACTGGCACGTACCATTTCTGTTGCTTGTGCGAACTTGGTGGAAGTTTTTAGGGGTGCTCAACGGCTGCCCCGTTTCACGGGAAAAATGTTGATTTCTTCTTTCTTTGCGCTGTACATTTATTAAAAACCAAGAGTTTGTTTAATTCACGTAAAACGTTTTTAGAAAAATATTTTTTTATAATATTTGGTTAGAGGAAAACTAATTATTTCCTGTAAATTATTTTTCAAATTTTTTACTTTAAAAAATAAATTCTCAAAACAATTTTATTTTATTAATTTAATATTAATAAAATATTTTAATATCATTTTAATCAAAATAATAATTATTAAAATAGTTAAAATATATTTATTAATATTTGTAATAATATAATATTATATTTGTAATATTATAAAAAAATAATCAATTATATTATAATAATATAAGATATTATATTTTTATTTTAATAATATATAATAAATTATTAATTAAATTTATATTATTTATGAAAATTTCATAGAAATAATATTATTTATATATTTAATATTAATATAATAATAATAATTTAATAAAGATATTAAAATATACTAATTAATATTTTTAAAATATAATATAACACTATTACTTTAATAAGTAATTAACATAATTTATAATATTTTTATTTCAATAAAATATACCAATATTAATATTTTTATTAATAAAATTATAAAAATAATATGTTAATAATAAATAAATTATTTTATTTTAAAAATAATATTAAGTTTTATGATAAATAATATTATTTATTGTATTTAATATTTGTAATAAATAATTTGTAAAAAAATCGTCAACTAGTGGAAAAATGGTTTAAACAACATCTTCCAAACATCGTAAAATATTTTACAGAAAATGTAATTTATTTTACAGAGAACATTTTCCGGAAAACGTTTTCAGTAAAACAAACGGACCCTAAATTTAAGCTTAATTATTCTTTATATTTTTAATATTTTGTAAAAATAATTATGATAATGTATACAAATAAACGTTATTTTTTTAATAGAAGCTGTTGATCTTATTAAAAGATAAAAATATCCAAAATTAGAACAAATGTTTGTAACTACCCTTGTAAACTAAATACATAATTTAAACATTTTATTATAACATTGAAACTAGTCACTTTAAACATCATTTTACAACTTCATGCGATGCAATTAACTGAATCAATTTATTTTATTTTACAGTTCAAGTTTATAATTATCATTTTAGTTGATTTATAATATTATTTAATAAAATATTTAATTTAAGCATCATTATATCATGTTTAATATGGACATTTTATTTCTCAAAAGTATTTTTTTCATGTCGATACCAAACATTAAAAATTTAAACTTAAATTTTTAAAAGTACTTATAAAGATCACTTTCAAATAACATTTTTTAACAACACTTTCCAAAATAAATATTTAACATTAACTATTAATAATAGAATTACTTCATTAACTAGTCATATAATTCTATAGTAAAACATTTATTTTACTTTATAATAAATATTTAACTTAAAATATATTATAGGTTATTTATTTTACGTTAAATACATATAAAAAATATATTATAACATTGAACTTATCAAGTAGTCTCGGTAATTAAAATTAAAAAAAAGTTTTATATTTAGACAATTACGTTTACAGATGTGTGTTATTTTCATCATCTTTGTAAAAAGGAAAAATCAGTTACATTTTACTTGACCAAACATTTCTATCTCTTTGGCCAATCTCTTCTTCTCCTTCTCGTCGTAAATACGAAAATAGATAGTTTACCCTATTATAGAAAAGGGTTTTTTGTTTTATAGTTTGCCCTTATTACAGTAAAGAAGTAAATATAAAAATATAATAAATACAAACAAATTTTAATATCTTAAAATATATTTTTCAAATTGTACATACTAAATATCCTACAATTACGAGTTGTTTGAGAAATGTATCCAATAAAATATATCAACAAATGTCCTAAAAAAGGAGAAAGGAAAGATCTTGGTGGTGGAATTGTACAGAATAGGAAGTTCAGTTTATGAGCTTTTGTCTTAGCCTTCTGGGTTTGGTTTGCTCCTCTTCATCAAATTTCTTCTCAACTTGCTTTAGTTTGCACGCTAAGTGGAGCTGTCCATGGCTCATATATGTACTCCTTCGGCATGTCTGAGATCCACTAACATCGTCAGTCTTATGTTGATATTAGCACATGACAGTTTCCCTACCTATGATGATGAAGGGGTGGAAACTAAACGTACCTTTTAGTATGGGGAGAAAATGCCTAATATAATTGCCACTCGGATCATATTTCCTTCCAAACGATATCGGTGAATATATGCGGTTATACTGTTCGAAAACAACGATCATTCATGTTAAAAGCCGAGTTATGTAAACGGCAAATTTGGCAGCAATTCTGGAAATAAAATTGTAACTCTAAGAACCTATATCTCAAGCAACGAACTAGTAGCTACTGTGAAAAACCTGCTTTTGACAATTGTAATTCTAGGACATGCAGATATCATTCATCGATAAGATAATCCAGACACGAAATTGCAGGGACAATTTACGATTTATAGTTAAATCCAGTATAGAAGGGTCTACTTATGTTGGCGAAAGAAATCATTTTGAGCTGCCAGTCACTCCCCATCAAGAGACTTTGAAATTGATACATGTGTTGATGGTTCGAACCTGGTAAAAGAACGATGAACACGATAGCCAGAGCCAATTACCATTGTTAATTGCCCAATCTGAATCAATTAGAAGTCTCTCGAAGACAACACGTCCTTTTTCCCAATGAACAAACTAGGAAAAAGAAAAAGAAACTTATGACGTGAAAATGATTGAAAGAAGAAAGAAATGTCCTGAAGCATGGTAGAAACATACTAGATCTCCACGAGTAAGGAAACACGCAACAGAGTGACGTGCAAGATGGTGCATCCAACCCCACTTCCGCAACTACAATGACGTTTATAAAATTATAATGCACAAACATGACACCAAATGTGCAAAATATTAGATAAAGGTATCAAGTTATGCCACAAAAACCTGGACCATTATAGCATCAATCCAAGGGAAACCTGTTCTAGCTTCCCTCCAAGCAGCTAGGAGTTCGTCATCATCATTCCATGGAATCTGAAATCACAAAACTGGATAGCATCAACGGTTTATACATAGTAAGTACAGAGTTCAATACAGCATGTCAGTTATGGTTCACGTAAGATTAATCAATGATTTCTTTTGAAAATGCAAGTGCAATATAGAAAATAATTACTCCAATATTCAAATTTTATGGATGATATAGAGCAAATGGAAAACCACTTAATAATGTCAATATAACCCCATATACTCATAATCCACTTATCAAAGAGGTAAGAGAACTTATGAACAACGCTAGGTGTAAGCAAACTAATTCATCCTACGAGAAGTTACAATCACGACCATTCATTTATTTATTTTTTCTCCCTTTTTAACAAAACCATCTACATATTCGGTACTTGCGTCGCAAGGTGTCAATTTAAGGCAAACATAACCAGATCATTTGGAAATTATGGTGAAACAATTCTAGTTACAAAAGAAACATGGCTTGAATAAATATAGAAGAGTTGTAAGCCTATATGGAAGTGCTGCCCACTTAAAAAGGTTGTCATCTATAGTGTAATACCAGGTGGTTTTTACGCTAACAGCATGTGATTTGTTGGTAGAGTGCTGGACACTTTTAGCTGCAATGATCAATCAAGATTCAAGCTCTAACAACTTCAAGCACCGGGAAAAAATGTTCTATTTATTTTGTTTCCTTTCCTTTTCTTTTTCTATGGTTCTAAGAGGAACGCGAAGAAAGAAACAAACAGAAGCAGACATTTGCATAAAAAGGTTTAGTTTAGTACATTAAATGCACTGACCTGCTTGCATATTTTGTTACCCTTCATTTTGTCAAAATTAGGAGTTCCAAATGCGACGGTATAGAAAAAATCACGCCATAGCAACTGCATGGATGGAATCTAGCTCTCAGTTCTTTGATAGAAAGGGAAGACCAACAACAAAATAATCTCACTGTAGTGAAGAATAAGTAATAGGAAGCCGACCTGCCCAACAAGAGAAACCGGTGGTGATGAATGTCTCTTAACATTTTTGTAGACATCTTGAAGGCACTGGTAAAAATACCTGGAAGAGAGGCATCCAAACTGCCAAAAGGATCAGAAATAGAATAGAGAATGAACAAAATAAAAAGAAAGGGCTGGTAATGCAAGGATGAGATCTCTTAAAGACATTTTATCAGCATATTACAAAATTTTTACAATCGAAGGTACAATCCAAAGCCAATATCAGTTAATCTTGTTGTCACTCACTTTCAAATAAGGTGATAGAACAGTTGTTGCTGGCTTTATATATGCAGAAGGGTCACCCTTAGGTTTCTCGAAATTGGCTACCCATTCCTACAGTAGAAGAAAGGGGTTATATGAATTTGAGTGCCATAAAGAACTCAAGTTTTGAAATAAAAAAACTACAACATGAGAAAGTTAGTAAGATAAGTGAAGGCATTTTTGAAAGAAATCAGGTTCAGTTAATGACAAACCGTAGAAGATTTCACATTTCAGCAGGAACTTAAAAGTTGTCCTCACCAAGACATTAGAAGGAGAAATACAGATTGTTAGGTATGGCTCATAAATATACCAGTAAAGAGGACAGGAGATAGAGCGGAGTGAGCGAAGCGAACATCAACTGTCCTTACAAAGAAAGTCTCGTTGTGGGGTTACAAATTATGTGGGTTGGGGGTGCGGGGCGTAGCCCCCGCGGTACGGTACAGGGTTGATTTTGTAATTATGTACCAGGGTTTTCTATTATAAATAGAGATGTAACCTAGACCTAAAATATCATTGAATAAAATTCTAGCGCCGCCTAGGCACCGAGGACGTAAGTACATTGCCGAACCTCGTAAAATTCTCGTGTTCTTTCGTTTTCTTTACCCGTTTTCGTCAACACAGATGGACCAAATCGCAACTAAACCAGATGCATATTAATGTATCACTAGGCACGTATGAATCACGCCTTCCCATCAAGGCAATGATGAAATATGACAGTGACAAGAGAGCAGTCAACTTTCTTCTCCTCAGCTTGATATACAACATTTCACGAGCTACATATTCACCAAGACCAACCTAAATTCAATGGACTTATCTAACTATCAGATGCAGCTCTTCTCATCACACATGTCCCTATTACCTTACTAGGAAAATCAAATTGATTAAAATGTTGTTACAGCAATTCAGATAAAAATTAACTCAAGCTATTATTTAAAAATAAAATGAAAGAAGAAAGTTAACCAAAAGTTTCCCATGGTTGTTCAAAAACACATAAAGTCGACAAAGGACATGGTAATCTGTCATTTATCTACATTATGTACTACGAATGATAGATATAGAAGTTCAATATCAAATTGTAGAACTTTGTCAATTCCACCATCCTACAATTTCCCAAAACTTCAAGGCCATAATATCTGGGTTTTAAAAGAGTCGCGCCTAGGCGCAAGGTGCAGCCGGGCAATGAAGGTAGCGCTCGCCTGGGTTGAGGAGAGGCGAGGCGATTTACAAGAGCGGGCACCGGGTGCTGTGCCTTTGCGCTTTTCAGATTTTTTTAAAGATATTAAAATTTTTAATAAATAATATTAAAAAAAGCCCATCTAACTTTACTAACTCTCGGTCTCTCAAGATACACAATTAGAAAAAAAAGAAAAACTCAACAAACAAAATACCTAACATTCTTTCTCTCAATTGCATGCCTCTCTTCACTATAATATTATTTATCATGTTAATTTGAGTACAAAATATAGTTTACACGGTCTATATTATATATTACAAATAGTGTTCCTCGCATACGAAAGGCGCGCGCCTGCACCTTGCGCTTAGGCTCCAAGGGCCTTTTGCGCCTCGGTGCGCCTTGCGCTCTTAAAAACCAAGCATAATATTGCTATTTCTAATTCAATGCTCAGTACCATAAGAAAAGAGCATACCTTGTCACATAGTGTTTCTCTCAACCTCCTCAATGCTTCTGACTCACCACCTTTAAAGGGTGTGAATTCATCCTGCACAAGGGTCCCTTCTTTATAAATAGCTCTTTAAAGCAAATGCACATTTATTAAACATAGATAGCTTCATACATGATCCTCTTCCACATACCCAAGTTCCTTAACTGTTGGAACTTGTAAAATATCACACCTTCCAACATCCCTGACAGGAGGAATCGACGAAAGTTCAACCGAAAGTGGGGAAGATGCCCACGAGGGTTCCCCAGCAAGGTTTAAAAAGGATTGATAAGTCAATGGTGGTCTTCCGCCATTTTTTTGTAGACATTTGTCGCATTAATGAAAAGTATCTATCAATCAGAAAACAATAAATAGCATCCTTGGTATGAAAAAAAAGATTAACAACCTTGAAGCAAAAAGTTCCAAACTCCGTTGATACTAACTTTTTGCTTACTTTCTCTATAATATCAGCATGATTGAAGAGTGTATGACTCACTGGAGAGAAAACCTCGATTCCAGCTGCAGAAGCATAATTTTGTTGAAACAAAGGCAATCTTTGTTCACTAGTTAAACAGATCAATTCCTAACTTAACTAACTGTAATATGCAATTAAACATATGTTCCTATGATGTTCAGAGTTTCAGATTTACATTTTTCTTGAAGTACCATATTCGATACCCATGTCTGACATATATTTGGATATGGGTATTAATAAATGATCCTGCAAAGACACTATACATACATAGACAAGCTAGGAAGAAAATGGAAATACATAGTTTTCAGAAATGTACTCGTATTTTATACGTACATCTATGTCCAAGTAACACATATATGTCTAGTACAAGAAAAAACTTACAGCCCTGCATCACATGAATTATACATCTTCACTGAAACCCGAACACTAAACCCAAACTAATTGAAATATTAAGTTATAACCTATTGAATAATCGAGTAAAGAAAACAGAAAGAACATAAGAATTTTAACGAGGTTCAACAATGTGCTTACGTCCTCGGTGCCTTAGGCGACACTAGTTTTTCATTCAATATCTCATAGGTTTTGGTTACATCTCCTTTTTTAATAAATAAACCATAGTACATATTTACAAAAATAACCATGTACCATACAGCGGGGTTGTGCCCCTGTACCCCCAACCCACATAATCGTAACCCCCACTACGAGACTTTTTTTACCAGTATATTTATGAGCCATACCTAACAAATCTCCACCTTAGCGAATATCCTACCCCTTAGGAAACATTCAATGTGGGTTGGGTTACTTTACTTCTTTAACAACTCGAAACATTCAACAAGTCCAAGTAATGCATGAACTTGTCTGTCGTAACTGGCTTGGTGAACATATCAGCGACATTCTCATCAGTATGTACCTTCTGAAACAAAATCTCTCCAGATGCAACCAACTCTCTAATCTTGTGAAACCTTACATCAATATGCTTAGTTCTAGCACGATATACCTGATTCTTAGCCAAGTGAATAGTACTTTGATTGTCACAAAGCAACTGAACTCCACCTTGTTGAACATCCAACTCCTTCACTAAACCAGTAAGCTATAAAGCTTCTTTTGCAGCTTAAGCCGCTGCCATGTATTCAGCTTCAGTTTTAGATAATGCCACAACAGATTGAACATTAGACTTCCAATAAATAAGCCCTCCACCAAGAGTAAAGACATACCCTATCGTAGATATTCTATTATCCAAATCACCCGCATAGTCTGAATCCACATATCCTACAACCAAAGGATTATCCCGCTGACTATTTCATGTCCCACTGTAACATCCCAATTACCGGGTAAGTGACTAAATTGTAAGAGTTTATAAATTTAGTTGGTGAATTAGAATCAAGTGATAAGTCTAGTGATTTATGGAGGAATTTTGTGTGTTGGGTATGATAGTAAATATGGAATTATAATAAGGGTAAAAGGGTTATTGAGTAAATAAAAGAATAAAATAATAATTGAGGGTATTATAATACCCATATGAATGAATTGAAGAGATAAGCTTTGAGACTTATCTTCTTCATCTTCTTCTCTCAACGTGAAGACACAAGCTTAAGGTAAGAATCTAAACCTTGGTCGTTTCTTTGATTTTTAGTTTGGAAATGGAAGTTTGGATGTTATATAAGCTAAAGGAAAGCTTATATGACATTAAAACAACAAGATATGTGTTTTAGAGATAGATTTGAAAAATGGGGTTTTAGATGAAATTTTGATATGGATGAGTTTTTGAAGTTTGAATAAGATTTTTGACTTGTCAAGAAGTTAATTAAGGAATATAGAGTGTTAGAATTGATTAATATCATGTTTGAAATTTGAGTATGATTCTTAGTTGTAAGAATTTGAATGAAGTATTGGAAATAATAAAGTGTGGAATTGATAGAAGTTAGTTAAAATGGTTGTAGTTAAGTTGGTGGTATGAAAGGAACTTTGTATGAGAAATTTAGTGAAGAATTGGTGATTTTCGGATTTGAACAGTAAATTTCTGGATAAAATTTCCAGATTATGCAGAGGGAACCGATACCCTCTGGGGGGGGGGAATCGATTCCCCCTAAATGAAAAATGGAATTTGGTTCTTTAATCTGGCTTAAGTTGTTAACATCAAGTTTAAGGTTTAGGCTTCTGATAGTTGTTTTGAAATGTTATATTTATGTAGATATTGAGTCTAAACAAGTTCCGGAATAATCAAAGGATTAGGATCGAATCAAAGAAAACAAGGCTAAGGTGAGAACAATTTTAATTGTACTTATATTATTGAACGGACATTGACTTGCGATGAGCCAGTGATGGAGTTACTATGGTAAGAAGTGACTCCTAAAATGTTATTTAATTTGTGATTCTTATATGTGCATGAATACATGAAATGAGTATAGGTTATTATATATGTTACATGATATGCATAAACATAAGAGCATAAAACATAAGATATATGATATGATATACAGGATTATATGCATATGTGATATATGCTATGAGACATGACCAATGTGAAATGAGATAAGTTATGTGAATATATGAAATGATATATGAATATGCAATACGTGATACATGTGATATGATATGAAATACATGGTTACACATACATGTGGTATGTGACAGAAAAGAAAGAACAAGTGATGAGAAAAGTATTCATTGTAAATGCCCACAGTATACGATATGAGAGCTATAGGTATAGTTGGCATGCCAAGAGTCGAGGGTTTCATAGGTCCTTTGGGACAACTCATAGGTCCTTCGGGACATATTCACAGGTCCTTCGGGACAAATTTCATATGCCACTCAGTGGGACTTATACGAGCTGTGGTGACAGCAATAGTGCACAACCTCAATTTACTCGAATACCTTGAGTTCTCAGTAATGTACATGGGCCTATAAAAGACATTGAAAGTATTTACAAGATTCATATGTGATATTGTGTGCATTTCTAAGTGAAATGTATTTGTTATATGAGATTGGTAATTATTTATGCAATAGTGAGATTTGAAGTTTATATTATATGCTGATATAGTATATAAAGAAATTAGTGATGATCAAATGAGAAATGATAAGTACAAAATCATATGATAAATAGAGATTATGATGATGATGGTATATGAATATGTATGCATTTTATTATATGAAATATTATATGGTTTTCTTATATATTTTATATGCCTCACTAAGTCAACGACTTAGCGTGTGATTGTTTCACGCGTAGGTTATGAGAAGATGACGGTTGATAAAAGTTATTCAAGACAGGTCAGTTTCTCCTTTCCATAGATTAGATCAGAAAAGAAATGTATAATGTGTATTTTGTAATAACGATAGTGGTTGGCATGTAAATAAATGATTAAATCTGATAAGTTCTAATCGGTTTTGAAAAGTCATACGAATGAGTTTTGTAATGTTTTAATGAGTATATGTAATTAATAATATTCAATTTATTTTGTTAAATAAATTTGGAAGCATAGATGAGAATTTTTATAGTGATGAAAGGTTAATATGTAATTTTCGAAAATTACTGTAGCAGTTACTGAAGCATGAACAGTAACCGCGAGTTTGAACAAAATTTTCCAGTATCTTAGAGGGGAACCGATTCCCTGCTACAGGGAATCGATACCCCCACTATTCATCGTATTATTCACTATTCACTATTCATACAGTATTTTACTGTTCACAAATACGTATTTTTGAACTCAAAATTTTATAACAAGCACAAGTGAACCATATATATGGTCGTATTTTCTTAATATAAATTAAAATGCTCAATTATTTTGAAATGAAATCATTTTTAAAAAGTCAATGTGACATCTCGGACTCGTATTTGGGTCGGGTACGGGTTGGGGTGTTACACCCACAATACCCTTTAAGTACCTAAAGATCCACTTGACTGCTTCTCAGTGTTGCTTACCAGGTTTAGACATGTACTTACAAACTTGACTAACAGCATGAGCTAAATCAGGACGAGTACATATCATTGCATACGTCAAGCAGCCAACAACATTAGAATACGAAACCTTTGCCATATCTTCAGCTTCCTTATCTGTCTTAGGGCACTGTTCTGATGAAAGCTTAAAGTGATTCGCCAATAAAGTGATTCGCCAATGGAGTGCTCACTGGTTTTGTGCTGCTCATCTCAAACATTTCTAGCATTTTCTCAACATAACCCCGTTGAGATAGCCACAGTTTTCTTGAGTCTTTGTCCCTGCAAATTTCCATTCCAAGAATTTTCTTTACAGCACCTAAATCTTTCATATCAAATTCCTGACTCAATAAAGTTTTCAAACCGATAACATCATCCATGTTCTTCGTAGCAATTAACATATCATCAACATATAGTAACAGAAAAATAAAAGAACCATCATCAAGGCTCTTAACATAGACACAACAATCATACTCACATCGCTTGTAGTCAATCTTGACCATATAGGAGTCAAACCGTTTGTACCATTGTCTCGGAGACTATTTCAACCTGTACAAAGATTTCTTCAATATGCAAACAAAATGCTAGTTTCCAGGTTCAGTGAAACCTTCAGGATGTTGTATGTAGATCTGCTCATCTAAATCACCATGAAAAAAAGCAGTTTTAACATCCATTTGCTCTAAATGAAAATCCCAACTAGCCACCAATTCAAGCACTGCTCGGATTGAAGTGTGCCTGACCACATGAGAAAAAAATTCATCATAATCAACTCCTTTCTGTTGTGTAAAACCCTTTGCTACCAAACGAGCCTTGAACTTCTCCCCTTCTTTTTGTGTTACTGCTGGTTTCTTCTTATGCACCCATTTGCAACCAATAGGCTTCTTACCCTCAGGAAGGTGAACTAACTCCCATGTGCAATTGTGATTCAAAGACTCCATCTCCTCAACCATGGAAACCATCCACTTGTTGTTTTCCTGACTAGTAACAACATAATGAAAAGTAATCGGATCTTCACTGCTAACAGTAAGTGTAAAAGAGACGAAGTCTTTAAAACCCAATATGTTCGGAGGCTTTGTATTTGTCTGTCTCACCCTGTCTCTGGCGAGACTATAATCCTGTAAATAATCCGTAGCGGAACCACCAGAAGTCGGTTAAGAAGTTTCTATTTTCTCAACTGGAAATTGCTCGAAATCCACCACTGTCGTGTCTTTCTTCTGCTGCTACATGAACTGTTCATAAAAAACAACATCACAATTTTCTTCGTAGGTGGATC